GTCGGCCCCAGGCGCGACGCGTCGGGACTGTCTGCAAGATTATGCTGACATTCGGTTAGGCTGGACTCCTAACATTTATCTACAATTTTCTGCCACCGATCTGCAAGCAGCCGGATCTGGTTATAGTACAATTCCCTAGACTTTGATTCGAAGAATTCTTTAAATATCTCTTCAGCTTCCTTAAATGGCTCGAATTGGTGACCTCACACGAAGTACTGCATTGATCGGAAGTGGCCATAGTCAGATGGCGTGGCATCGGGGCAGTAGGACAGGAGCGGAAGAGCTCGAACCCATCTAATCCTCTGAATTTGTTCCGCGTCTTTTTTCCGATGTGGGGTTTGGGACAGAGTCCGTTTTCGACGAACCAGTACCGGATACTTCTCGTTACGTTTGTCTTAGACCCGACCCAGTTGTTGGCAGTGGAGGTCGTGGTGCACCGCATCGCCATTCGAGGAAAAATCCAAAGTGGAGCACACCTTCGAAATCCTACCGAACACAGATCATCACTTTCTAGCTGAACCTATCTTGACCCTAGACTTATGGAAGAACCTGACTTCTTGGAACCAATTTGTTTTGTCGGTTGTGATTGACTAGGTAAACCGATTTCTCATCAGACTTCGCAGTACACCTCCAGAATCGATTATTCAGACGCTTTTGCGAAGACTGACAACAAATTTCAACCCGTCGATTCCCTTATACTTCGGTCAACTCATTTCGGTCTTGATGGGGCTTCTTATGGATAAAGTCAAATTGATGCAGGTGTCCCAAGACCGTTTTTCGATCGAATCCAAATAGTGCTCTTAAATCGCGACCTCCGATTAGGGTTCATATTCATATTCAAATCTTCATTGTCTAATTCTGATGGTCGATGGGAACGAAGCTGGTCCTCAAAATTGATGTCGCCAGAGTTAAGACAGTTGTGTCGTGGCCTGTCCCTTCGCCTTCCGTATCACAGAGCTTCCCTACTCCAAAATCTTCGTCTTCAGCAATAAAGAATCAGGATTCAAAGTTCAGTGTTTTATTTAAAGACATCTGAAATATAGGAATAAAGTTGAGGTTGAAGGACTTTGTACAACAATATAAAAGGCGTAGTTGTGGGCAAAAATTTTGAAAAAATAAGGTGTCAAAAATGACGTACTTCGCAGCAGAACTTGCTGCAGAACTTTTGCACTAACACAGTAACTTATAGTGCACGTAGGCAGGACGAGGTTGTGCCTGGCATGCGTAGGCGGCTGTAAAGCCTTGTAATCCCCCCTCCAGCCCTCTTGACAATGTTTTGCATTTGAAGATAGATGTTGCGCAAGTATGTCTCACATCGTACTTATTCACGCGTAAGTCACCGATGCAATACCCACGCTATGTAAAACCTGGGTGACGTCATGGATTGCGACGTTTGAGTCGTCGAGGGCTTTATTATTCCAACACGACTTAAGTCTTCCTTTGTGACCGAGATTGTGCTTCCTCATTTCAGTTTATATTCGTTCGTGAACGCTCACCAATCCCTTGTCTTTGCCGGCAATAGTCATTTTGTTTATGTTGCACTAAATGCACCACCTACTACGTCTGCTCGGTGGGATTGCCCGGTTTGTCTGCCGTCCCTATGATCGAGTCTTTTTTGTAGAAATTATCTCGCGCTCCTCTGTTCGTTTTTTTTGCAGAAACAGGTCGATTTGTCTATCGACCTCTGCGCCGGCTGAGGCTCTTCACAGCATCTTACTGTTTGTAGTCTGGGCTCAGTGGTGAGAGTTTTAAGACCTTCGAGTCTCAGGTGGTGCACCACCTGGGGTTGGGTACGGCCGGCTGCTGACAGCTACTGAGCCAGAAATGACCATTCTAGTCTCCTTTATCGGTCGTGTCATTCTGCTTACACTACTAGCCTCTGTGCGACTGTTGACGGTGCTCGAGAATGAGTTCCAAGGTCGAACGAGAGGAGTGAGTTCCGTTAGCGATCAGTGAGTGCTCATCAACGAAAACTATCCTCTTTCGCATATTGATTTCTCGTCGCTAGTGTTAACGGTCGTGACGACTTGAGCGGGGAAATCTTAAGTAGAACAGACGATTCGTACTCGGTGAAGCAGCCGACTTTAAGAGCCCTGTCTTGACTTTGAAAGTCGGTAATGCCTGGCACATGACAGAGACTAACTTGTAAACCATAATATTAGCTTCCTAATCTCTATTGGCAAGCTGCTAATTAAAATTCTGCTTTTATTCTCCTTCCTCTTACTCAGTCTTGGCACTGTTTGACGCCGCGCCTGATGCCGATCAAACACCTGGATCCCAGCTGCGCATTCGGCTTCTACTGTGGCAGTCGAATGGAGTTGGTTCAACTGCTCGAGCGTCTACCGCGCATCTCCGAACTGCGTAGCTCTCACCGATCGAACACACGTCTAATCGAGGTGGTTTCCGCCTCGCAGGCGACCCACCTCTTCACTCCACCCGTAACATCCCTACCCACCGCCAAACGGTTCAGCCTGACCAAGGACCTCCGTCCTTCTTACTCCTACCCTCCAATCGATGACAGCAGTGAAAAGCTCGATGATCACCGGCAACACCGCGAGGAAAGAGATACTGTCTTCCTCTAACAGTCTGCTTGCCTCTCCTCGCCTATCCCCATTCTCTTCCTTTCTTTACTGCGAAGCAATTTGTGATCCCTCCATTTTCGATGTCCACTTCCACCGACCTTGATTTCTGCATAGCTGTGATTTTCTCTCCCCCTCCTTGGCGTGTTGCGCGCTATCAACCCTGTACACGTTCTCCTCCGTCTTATCCATGCTCGAGTCTCTTGTTGGCGATCATGGGAGGAGGTTTTTGTATGTGCACGCTGGTCGATGCGAGGGGAACCCTACTTTCGTTGATCCAAACATGCAAATCCTCCATCTAATGGCTGTTGTAAACTTTAATTCGCCAGCGGCCAATCTCCTGCACGTCATGTTTAACCATGCTGTTTTGGTGTCTCAGTCTTGTTTTTTTAATAAATCGAGAGCACTACCTTCAACTGCGTTTCTTTTTTCTCTCAGGATTTCGCGAATTGGTGCGAGTCTGAGTGACATCGGTCAAAAAGTCAGAAATGGCAACTCCAGGAAGATATCATTTTTCGTAACTCCTCTTTTGCTTGAGTGAGTCCGGAATCACATAAGCTACCTATGCTTCCATTCAACTAACTTACAAAACAGTCAGTGACAGTACCAGCAAATATTATCACTAAGCTACACCCTAGTAAGTATTATTAGAAGAAGCAGTACCAGTCCTAGCTTACTAAAGTCTGGCTAGACACCTACTATAGGTGAGTGAGGGTAGACAGTGCAGTAGTACCCGCTCAAAGTCTACTGTCACTAAAGGCTAAGTTAGGCGGCATTTCAGGCTGCATTGGAGAAAACGGCTTCCGCCCAAAGCCTGCTTCGGTCATCTCAACTTCGGTCTTGTCACCGGTAAAAGCGATTAGGGTTGGAGTGGGGAAAATCGTGGCGTGTCTACTTTCACTTTACTTGACTTTAATCACCTGCTTTCGGGCAAATGGTGGACATCTTCGCTTGCGATAGTCGAAATAACACATCTAGAGGCGGGTGCAGGAAGGTTTAGCGTATCGTCGGGTATTAGTAACAATGCCTCGAAATAGAAGCGAAAGGATACAACCTTCTGACAAAAGAACCTTGTCAAAAAAGACAAAAGAGGCTTAAGTAGCCATTTCCGGCTTGTTACTCGTCACTAGCCAACCAGCCATACCGAGCCCCATCTGTTGCAACACCTGAACATCGAACCCGCGACCTGTGGGTTCGAAGTCCGACGCCCTGACCATTGAACCACAGGCTTGTTATCTTGTCAGTTTCGAAGAGGGATATTGACAAGGAAGGATGGGTGCTCATCCAAAGGTTACGGCACTCAGATTGCGGGTTCGATCCTCGGGTGTCGCAACGCCTGGGTTTGGCTATGGCTGATGGTCGTACATGATGTGATGATTGCCTGTTAGTCTGCGTTGACATAGAGTGGATATGAGTCTTAGCTTTGACCCAACTCAGCATTAACTCTGACTTATAATAGCGACAGATATACTATCAGTACTACTAACACTCCGCTAAATTGCTAGTTAATAGCAGTATAGGAAGACTGTACCCTGTGATTATGTCTTGTCTATCGCAAGCTAAATGTTGTAGTAGGCCAGCAGCTAGTTTATAGATGGCTAACGGCACTGCGTTATAGCAGTAAGACATGGTATACCTTGTACTTTTATTAAATAACACTTTGTCTTAAATTATAAACTATTTATTTTACCTCATACAGATTGGGAGTGCATATTTGGTTCCGATTTCCTAAAATCCCAGGCAGACCTACTATAATATACGATTTACTGGTCTTAGTAAGTATGATTACTAGGATTAGCATAGGCGCGTACTTATAGCAGCAGTATCCTAGTCTTTGTAATCATAACCTAATAGAAACTGACACGGTTTGGTGGATAGAGTTGGGACGGCGGAAATCAAGGCATACCTTGATATGCTCGGGGCCTCAAAAATACATTTACTCCAAATAGCATAAACCCAGATTCACACTCCTTGTTGAGATTAAGGGGGTATGAGCCCCAGCGTTGATTTAAAATCAGCGTCATCTCTGACTAATATTAGCGTCAGAAATATTTCCAGTGCTACTAAGATTCAGCTATATTGCTAGTCAGTAGTAGTAGAAATAGAAGTATCCGTACCAGTCTCGGCCTGTCTTGACACCTACTGAGAGTGAGTGAGGGTAGGTAGTGCGGTAGTACCCGCACAAAGTTTACAGTCACTTGAGACTAAATTAGGCGGTGTTTCTGGCTTGCATTGGAGAACGCGGCCAACACCGGCTCCCATTTAGTCTTCTTGACTCTGGGCGAAGGTGAGGAGTGCGGTTGGCGCCAGTTACGTCCGCCATCACTGTAATCTACCCCCTGAGACTTGTCACCTGTACCAACCTGTTGGTACACTTGATGAACTTCATCGAAATTAATGGTCGATCACATGGGCTGCGTTCGAGACGTTAATTGTCGAATTTTAATCACCATTCTCGGTCCTTGGCGTGATGATCAGTGGACAATGTGGCTCGCTGTCATTGGGACCGTTGGCCGCCCGCCTCCCCGCGGGGCTAATTACCCTGCCTGGGGAAACGTCTCAGCGCAGAATATGCAGCTGCGAGGTCACTGCGTTTAATTTATTATAATAAGCTACTTTTAC